TATTTTTATACCTATATATTTTTAAATGTTCTATGGTTTTTGTATTTTTTTTTTTTACACAGTTTATACGTTTACATTACATTACGTTTTAGACAAATAATATTTTGCCCCTGTTGATTGTTATGGATAAAAATATTAAATAGTTAGGGAACGCTAAAAAAAAATGATACAATCAATTGGTTTACAAAATATTGTCTGTAATGTCACCATTTGAAAAGTACATGTCACAAATCGATATTTATCATACAAATAGCATTATTAATATTATGATTATGTACTTTGTAGTTAACAGTTTTGAGAAGGATATTTTATTTTTTAAACATCTGCCTTATTCACACTATTATTATAGGCTCATGAGCCACCATACAGTTTATGTCATTCAMTCCCAAAACACATTAATTGCAGTAATATACGCTGTACTGCTAAACTCTATAAGATATACAATAAAACTTTGTTATAGTGCGTTTTCTGATAGAACGTGGATTTAAATCAATCCCATGTACCCTAGGCTATGGAATCCACCAGCTTTCCAAAAATGTCGGAAAACGATTTTGTAGCTTCTCGAGTTAAAACTGCTGTCAGTTGTAACTATAATAATAGCGAGATCTCAAGATTAGAAATAWAACCATATTTGAATCGAGACTGATATTCAATTATTTCACATATAATGCTACGTAGTTATACTACTTATATATAATGTATACACGCACACCGGTCACCGGTTATCCATGTATGTACATTTCCCATAAAGAGAACCTATGAAAAATTAATTATTCTTTTGAATTGATTAAAATTTTATTTGATACGGCCAAGCAATGAACTTTTAGCAATCATGTCTTGTAATATAATTAAAAATATTTAACGTACTTAAATCAATCTAGAAATAAAATAAATATCAATATATCTAAAATGAAATCAATAGAGTATATATAGGTATACATTCCGTAACCGCAAAGCTTTCATTGTTTTTTCAGTTATTAATCAAGTTGAAATTTTCATTTAATGTTTAAAACTCTATCCTTAAAATGTATACGTATTTATTTATTRACTATACGGAGATTTTTTAACTGATATATAAAATATAAAACACTTTTTGACATATTTTTACTGTTTRTTTTTAATACTATCAAGTTTCTGAATATTTTTTAAATATGAACAGCCTGAAAGGTACCTAATGGACTTATATGAAACCAATTTTTTATCTACAGGCACGTTTTACATGATAAAGATGAATCTTATTTTACCAGCTACCTTTTTTTTGTTGAAAAAAAAGTATCTCAATAAAAAAGACACATTATTATGTCTAGATATAAAACCAATATAACAATAAACTACCTAAAGCTCTGTCAATGCAATATATTATGTTGTAAACTATTTATTATATTATATGATTATAAATTATGTAGGTAGGTACATAATATTATTGTATAAGATTCCAAAACAAGAAAAAAATGTATGTAAGTATATAATAGTAACTATTAGTAATGTAATGTATATTCGATGCTACAATACCTTAATTTGTTTTATCCGTTTTTCCATAACTATACCTAACTGCAATTACTCTGGTTCCCCTTCAAGTCAAAAAAATCTTTCAACTTTTTATAACTGCAATTTTAAGTATATTCCATTGAAAGTTATACAATATTTAATCAAATATTAAAAAAATTAACTTATTTCAACGAGGGTAATTAACTAGGTATCCTCTTTTTTAAAAAAAAAAACATAAATGACCAAACGATTCGACGTTTTAATTTTTTTTTTTTTTTGAGGTTATATTATATAGATATTGATTCATATAAGACTTAATAGTTGGTTTTTTTTACAATAGTCTTTAATGTCAGTTAATAAGCTTTAGATAAGCAGATAACCCTACCAATATTTATATTTACCTATATCTGCAAACTGATATTAAGGAGACTTAAATGTATACAATTTCGCATGAAAAACTGTAATATTTCGGTTGAATGGAAGTTAAAATTTAAAACGGATTTTGACTCATTAACTGATTTAACATGTTTTAACCGAAGTGATTTTAAACATTTTGTTTTGTCAATTGTAATATCAATGAACAAAAACGGTATTTTTTTAATTTTATATTTATTTAAATGTCACATAATACCTTCAGTTAAAACATACATATAGTGGAKTCAAATGAATCCGAAATCCATGTTTGAAAACAAAATCCACTCAACCTGTCCTACAGTTTTTGGTGTTATCATCTTTTGTGTCGTTTCAATTGGCTTGAAAGTAGTGACCATAATATTGATTGACATTTGCCCAAGCGTACGTATATACACCGATTAAAAATAAACCATTCATTTGTACTGGTGATACAATGTTTATATTATTGGTCCACATTGACACAATGATATATACTAGCCAGTCCCTTATATATTAATTTACTTATCACTCATTGACACGTCACCAAAATACAATCATATTAATTCCCCTTATATGTTGCTCCTTACAACACGTTTGACTGTAGCCCCTTGAATCCATTTTAATTCTAATTCTAATTATATGATTCAATTATTTTAGTGTCGATAAATATGTCGATGTTTTTTAATTAATAGTTTCATGGATGAATACGCACATGCGTTTTTTTT